TCTCTCTCTCAAATAAATAAATAAAATCTTAAAAAAAAATTAAAAAAAAGAATTATTTCATTAAAACGACAACATTTTACAGGGAAAAAACATACCTATATTGCATCTGAGGTCAACCATTCATGCACACTTAAGAGTCTAATTTTAGAATCCTGTGTATTTCTCAGTGCAGTATTATCTTAGGCAGTACTTTTTTGGTCTTTTGTACAAACTTGCAAAAGTATTTTATCTACTGGGTTGGGAAATAACTGAACTCAATTACAGTTTCAATACTGGTATAGTTTATAAATAAGTATGGATAAGATCTTTTAAGTCTTCATTCAGAACAAAAAAACTAAGTAAACTCACAGCTGAATTCATTTAATATTCTTCACAAATTACAGTAGGAGTCTAAATAAATGGCTTTATTGTCCCTTTAAAAAAGTCTTCTACCAGGCTACTCAGTGTTTAATGAAATTTAAATTTTTTTGCACAGCAAAGAAAACACAGATACATTTCTAGAGGCAAGTATTTTTAAATGCCACATTTTCTCCATGAAGCTGTTTCTTCATTATTAAATATTTTTTAGCATACACAGGTACAGAAATAAACAGGGTTGAGATTAAGTAGGCCCTCATGACATATACAGAAAGGATACAAGTGAGAGGAAATGCCAGGACAAACATTCATGAAGTTTCACAGGTATGTGTTAATCTGCGCAAAAGGTTAGGATAGGTTCTGCTCTTGACCTAGCAGCTGGGAGTCAGGCCTTTCAAAACTGAAGAAATAACTGGTTAATTTCTCACCCCTGATTTAAAGGCTCTTTTCTTTGTTTCGTGTAACTACTTTATTAAACACAAGTATCAGAATCACCTTGAGGGGTTTAGTTAAACAGATTGCTGGGTTCTGCCACCAGAATTTCTGATTGAGAAGGTCTGGGGTGGGCCCAATAATTTACATTTCTAAAATGTTCCCAGGTGATGCTTAGGCTGTACAGCTGGTCCAAGGACCATACTTTGAGAACCACTCCCCAATAGTGAGGAGCACATGGGCTTAAAAGTTTCAAAGCTCAGGGCGCCTGGGTGGCTCAGTCATTAGGCATCTGCCTTCGGGTCAGGTCATGATCCCAGGGTCCTGGGATTGAGCCCCTCATCAGGCTCCCTGCTCAGCGGGAAGCCTGCTTCTCCCTCTCCCACTCCCCCTGCTTGTGTTCCCTCTCTCGCTATGTCTCTCTCTGTCAAATAAATAAGTAAAAAATCTTAAAAAAAAAAAGCCTCAAAGCTTTACCCAATTATTGCCATTAAAAATCTCTGGGTGGCTGTGTGGAGCACTGGGTGTTATGCACAAACAATGAATCATGGAACACTGCATCAAAAACTAATGATGTAATGTATGGTGGTTAACAATAAAAAAATTATTAAAAAAAAAAAAAATCTCTGGGTGGGAACAAGGTCACTGACAAAAGCAAAGAAGGAAAAGGTAACTTAAAAAAAGTAAGGCCAGGATAGAGGGATATGAAAGAGTAAGAAAGAGAGGCACAAACACATTATATAAGTAAGCATGACATAAAGAAAGAAGAAAATTGATGCACATAACTGCAAGTAACAGACATTTAGGTTGCTGAAATAAGATTCAGATCTGCGTAAATACAATTCTGTGGGTTCCCTCAGTATTATCCAACCATTACACAAGCAGGAACTTTATAATAGTGTAGTTTTTTGTTATCAGAACTTGAATTGCACAGTAAGATTCTTCTCAAATGACAATAACATCCAAGGTCCCTAAACAGAAAAAATATATTTGGATATATATAACCAGAAGGCCACGTGAGACGCTCAGTGGAAATTAGACTTTAACGGTTACCTATGATATTCTAAAGTTTTTATCAACAAAACCAAACCTGAAACCCGGATCTTCACTTTTTCTCCTTAACCACCTTGGGGACTATAAGTGACTTCTATAGCAGCCAGTACGCCTAATCCTTTAATAAATCTCCAAATCAATTTGAGGAAATCAAAGGCCTCCCTAAATCCTGGTAGCATACATCGACTTAACTGAATGTATCACACACATAAAGAATGGAGTTCTTAGAGCTCTCAGGAAACTGACCACCTAACTGAAAGTTCAAAGAAACACAAGATACTATGAAAGGCAAAAGAAAAAAAAATTCAAATTCACTGAATTGCTACAGAAGGCCACATGCTAAGAGGAAAGAGGGTGGATTTTCCTCCTTTTCCATATCAACCTACACTCTATATATATGTCCACCACTTTTTGAAGGTGGTGGATAAAACTTTAAATTTGTGAGATAAGATAAACAGGTAAGTGAAAGAGAATCACTATCTCAGAAGTAGTAAATGCAAGTTCTAATGTAGAAATGACATGAGCAGTCTATAAGAGATATAAAAATAATTTTCAAACAATATCCCAACTCACAACTTTTGCAGACTCAGAAAATATAGACCAGCCCTTTCCTTATTAAGCAGAAACACTATACTTGAAAATTATGAACTTAAGTAACCAGAACACATCTAATATCAGGGCTATAAAACGGGTGATTTGTAATTTAAACTAAGATTCTTCCTTTCTAAAACTTGAGTTCTTGTAGGCCCTAACTTAATACCATCAAATCACTGGGGTCATATAAAGTTGTACTACAGCTTTTTTGTACTGCATAAACACAGCAAATGTTGACCAAACATATCAGTAGAATAAAAGAGCATACATTAGATCCATGCCGGCCAAGAACTTCCCATTCACCACTGGTAATTGCTATTTCCTCTTTGACAGGACACTTGAAATCACCTAAAGATAAACATAGTTATCATTCAGCACTCTGTATCAGGCTATAAGCAAATGAAACAATGGAGAACATTACTCTAAACCTCTTTTTTCCAAAAGCACATTAAACAATTTAAGTTATATCTGGGGTAATTAAAATGTTTTGAAACTAGGCATGGGTGCTGACTGCACAACACTGTGAATGTACTAAATGCCACTGTTTATCTTATTTTTCTTAATGTTTTAATTAAAAAATTTTTTTAAAAAAGTAATCTCTACACCTAACGTGAGGCTCGACCTGAGATCGAGATCAAGACCCTGAGATCAAGAATCATATGCTCCACCAACTAAGCCAGCCAGGTGCCCTGCCACTATTCATTTTAAAATGTTTGTTCAAGGGGCGCCTGGATGGTCAGTCAGTTAAGCGTCTGACTCTTGATTTCAGCTCAGGTCATGATCTCAGGGTTGTAAGACTGAGCCCCGAGACAGGCTCTGCACTCAGTGGGGAGTCTGCTTGAGATTCTCTCCATCTTCCTCTGTCCCTCCCCACCCATAAATAAATAAATCTTAAAGAAATAAAATGTTTAAAATGTTCATTTTAAAGTGGTTAATTTAATGTTATGTGAATTTCACCTTAATTTTTAAAAAGTCTACAGTTAAAAAAATTCCAAGTTATGAGTCTTCACAATACAATGGAATAATGGTGGAGGGATCCATGTAAATCAAGTAAAAACAACAAAATAGATTCTGATGGCAAAGCCAGAAAAGAACTCAAAAGCAACTGTATTCCTAGACCTAGAAGTCTAATGGGTTGACAAGGCATTTCCCCTAGAAATGAAACAAACTACTTAAAAAGCCACAAAAGAAAAATTTTTATACAATTGTTCTTCATGTGCCAAAAAATAAACTGGGTATTCCCACAGTAAATGCCAACATGCCCCATTTGTCTTTATGAGATTCTGTCTGGGTAAAGAAAACTCTCGGTGGCCAGTGGCCAAAGGAGGAGGTTAAAATATGGAAACCATTTCTCTTTGCCTAGTAGTACTGTGGGAAGAGACAGCTGGGGACAGATTATAAGATGGCACAGGGTTTTAACTAGGGTCCCCGTAAGGTTAAAAAAGTTGATTTATTTTTTCTTAAGCAAAAAATTCAACTTAGTACTTTAAATTTTATGTCCAGAAACTACTACTTAATATATATATAACAAGTACTAATTGTTTCACATTATAGCCACTTGAGGAAGAAGAGGGAGGAGGAAGATGAAGTAGATATCAAGGGAAAAGGAAGATTTGGAGCAAGAAAGTCTAAGAAGAAAGGAGGGGAAGGGAAAGAAGAGGTAGATAAACTGAGGGGTCCAGAAAGAGACACTGAGAGGGAACAAAGAGGCTAGGCTTCAGGGATGAATGTTAACGTCCTACACTGTTCAACAGAAGTATATAATTTTAAGTTACCAACATTGTATTACTGTTCCCCAAATATTTTTTTAGTTAATTAAATACTATTCACAGCTTTCTGACCAGTCATCACTAAAATTTCTGGAGGGCGCCAAGGTGGCTCAGTTGGTTAAGTGTCTGCTCAGGTCATGATGCCAGGTTCCTGGGATTGAGCCCTGCACTGGGTTCCCTGCTCAGTGGGTAGCCTGCTTCTCCCTCTCCCCCAGCCCCTCCCCCCTGCTTGTGCAGTAAAATTTCTGGAATTTCATAAGTGGCTTTAATTTATCAACAACAGAGGAGCTGGTAAGGGCAATTTCACACCAAGGGTCAAGTTAAACTAAGGCTCTCAAGGAAGAAATTCTTCATCTTGGATATACAAGATCTAGTCTGCCTTAAAAAAATTAGGCTAAGTAAAGGAACAGAGTCATAGGCAGTATTTATTTTGTTAGTCAAAAGATGTAGCTCATGTTTCCCAAATAAGAATGATATTTAAAAGGCCCCGTTGAGAAAAACACGCAACCCACTTGAAAAGTTGGCAAAGGATTCAAACAGACACTTCTCCAAAGAAGATATACAAATGGATAATAACACATGAAAAGATGTACAATGTTACTAGTCATTAGGGAAATGCAAATCAAAGGCACAATGGCATACCACTTCATACCACTTCACTAGGATGGCTATATCCAAACAAACATACAAATAAACAAACCACACAGAAAATAACAAGTGTTGACAAGGATGTTGATGAACTGGAGCCCTTGCGCACTGCTAATGGGAATATAAAATGGTGCCGCTGCCACAGAAAAGAGTATGGTGGTTCCTCAAAATATTAAAAATAGAATTGCCATATGATCCAGTAATTTTACTTCTGGGTATACACCCAAAAGAACTGAAAGCAGGGTCTCAAAACAGGTATCTGTACACCCATGTTCATAGCAGTATTAGTCACAATAGCCAAAATGTGGAAGGAACCCAAGTGTCTGTAGACAGACGAATGGAAGACACAATGTGGTCTATACACATAGTTGAATTTATTCAGCCTTAAAAAGGAAGGACATTCTCACATATGCTATGATATGGATAAAACTTGAGGACATTATGCAAAGTGAAGTAAGTTAGACATAAAAGGGCAAATACTGTATAATTCCACTTATATGAAATATCTAGAGTAGTCAAAATCAGAGAGACAGAAAGTTGTTGTCAGCGGTTGAGGGGAGGGAGCAATAAGCTAAACTGGGTATTATTTACGGCACAGTTTCAGTTTTGGAAGATGAAAAAAGTTCTGGAGGTAGATGGTAGTTATGGTTGCCTAACAACAGAAACATACTTAATGCGACTAAACAGTACACTGAAATAGTTAAAATGGTAGGTTTTGTGTATATTTTGCCACAATTTAAAAAAATGGCTATTGAGTCTGTTATGTCCCAAATGGCAGTTAAGCATATAACATTATCATAAAGTGCCTACCATTCCAAAACAAACTCTTTATTATTAAAGTAGAAAACTATAACTCAAATAAAAAAACAAAAACACAAACAGGAGAACTATTGGATATATCATTTCACTTTTTCTAGGCTTACATGTCCATTCTGTTATTACATTTCCCAGAAGGAAAACCATCACTTTTTAGAGAGAAATTAACTCCAGCTAACACAATATTTAATTTCACTTTGGACAGCATAATTATATCAATCTGAAGAGCTATAACCATATTAACTTCAGTGTAGATGCAGACAGTATTAAACAAAAAAAAAAATAGGAGGGGCGCCTGGGTGGCTCAGTCGGTTAAGCAGCCAACTCTTGATTTCTGCTCAGGTCATGATCTCAGGGTTCTGGGATGGAGCCCCATGTTGGGCTCCCTGCTCAGCAGGGAGTCTGCTTCTCCCTCTCCCTCTGCTCTTCCCCCTGACTCGTGCTCTCTCCCTCACACTCGTGCTCTCTCTCATAAATACAGAATCTTAAAAAAAAAAACAAACATAATATGTAAAAAAAAAACAAAACAAAACTAGGATGTAAAAATATCTAATAACCAAATAACATTTTAAAAACAGCTTTTTAAATCTAAATATGACTTGGGCTCACTTTAAACAAATTAAAAATTACAGTCAAGGCAAAAGTAGAAAGCAAAAACAAGTAATTCCATTCCCAGAGATTACTCACTATTAATAGTTTCTTACATATCCATCAAGAACTTTGTCCTGTGATTTCACATATGTATTTATATTCTAGCCTAACTTATGTATTAAGTTTAATGAAGAACTGATGCTTATAAAGTATATAAAGTATACAAAAGAGACATTATATTACCTTGCCCCTCCCAGTTTCTGCCCCCAACATATATATATATATATATTTTCTAAATAAAAAAGGATTTCTTACTTGGGGCAGGCAGCCCACCACTGGATCGTTTATATTTGCTCTCCTTTAAAATGGATGTGATTTTGTATAAATGACGGAAACCTGTTTTGCATTCAGAGGCAAAAATAAATTCAATTTCATCTTCATGACTTTGGGGAAAAACATGAAAGATGTCATGGATCTGTAAAATGAATAACTTAATTTACTATATACATTAATGAAAATACTACATAAACAATTCAATTAAGTTAGAGAAAGAAGAATTACTTGATAAATACATTCTGAAACATAAATAACTGTCAGTGCTAGGGGGTACTGTGTATTTACAATACAGATTTTGTCTGGTCCTTTCAGATTTATCTCACTTTAGTCATAGACTTCATCCATTGAGAAATAAATGTTCCCAAATGGTGAAAAAAGAAAAATACAACCAAAAACTTTTTCTTACTCATCTCTATAATCCTTTGAAACATGGCATGAGGTTTAATGATACAAATCTTATTTACAGAATCCTACTACTTATTCTTATCCAAAATCTTATTACTTTTCTTTTCCAAAGAGAAATTTTCTAACAGTTGAAGGGTGAATCATATAAAGCCTGTACTCAGCCAGGGAGTGATCTGGCTTTATTTATTTTGTATCTTGTTTAAGTTTTTTCCACTAAATTGGAAAAGGAAAAACTCAATCCCAACTGGTAAATTTTGGTATAGTTTGCCAACTTAAAAGAGAAAGTCTCTTCTAGACTTCTACTGAGGTCCTCTTAAGAGGCACTGATGAGGCTGTTTTTCAATACATGATGTGTCCAGGAACAAGGGCAAATTTGCAACCAAGGAGATGTCATTTCAATGACATCTACTTTCTATCTACAAACATTCCAATTTGAAATGTTCAAACTAAGCAAATAACGTTCCTGGTTACTCTGAATTTAAAACTTCGTTTGGATAGTTTGCTATAAAACTTCACTTGCTTTAGCATTCTGAGAAAATATATAATTGGGTACAGGAAAGCATACATACATTTATCCAGATGTCTGTTGTTTCTTCATAGATAATTAGTGGTGTCACGGAGTCAGGCACCGACTCGATGAGTCTCTGTCTTTCCATGGCATCATCTTCTACTGGGATAAATAATTCAGGTGAGATCAACACTATCTGTAGGCGAGTTTGGGAGCGATCTAGTAGAATGGACCAAGCACTATTTAAACAAACAAACAAACAAAAAAGCACCAAAAATAAAGCCATCTCTCAGAAAATGAATATTCCCCTACTCTCTCCTCTAGTACCCATCTATTATTTCTGGAATCACATTAAAGAATTGCTTTAGTAGATGTTAAATTATCATTTACAAATGGCTAATTAAAAGTATTACCTTAAATTTTTTAAAGTTAGGCTTGAGTAGAGTTTTTTTTAAAAGTGGTTTTCTTTAAACTCCTAAAACCACAAATGACCTATGAAATTGTTTTTTCCCCTTAGTGTCAACAATTGGTGGCCTTGTGAAACTCCTGTTGTCTACCTTAGGAACTATATGTAATCACCTTCACATAAAACTCTACAAAAAGTTTTGCTTAAATTATGTAATAAAAAAATATAGACATCCTTATGTGTGAGGCCTAAAGTCATACAATTTAACCACAAAAAAACACTGAAACCATGACTGGCTATGTAACAGACAGAATGAAAATGCAATGCCCCTACACTTACAGGATTACAAATCCGCAAGCCCACTTAGCTCAGGAAAAATTCTCTGTGCAGAAATAACTACTCTGCAAATCTGCATGTGAAGGCATCTCCAACTGAAGGGCAAGCCTAGTAACATAAACATTTCTAAAGTTCTGGATTCTAAATTACTTATAAAGAAGTGACAATTTAACATACGCACTATTTTCCCTCTGGAGTCCATCCAGCTCTGGCAATATATTCAACTCCTTCAAACAGAATCTCAAAAGGTTGAATTAGTTCCTTATCTATGACATCGATAATCTATTAAAAAAGAAAAAAGGAATCGAGTTACAGAAGATTTAGATCAGTAACTAGTTTACTAGTCTACCTAAATCATCATCTTCAACAGCATGACATTTTTTCAGACTTAGGTATTCAAAAAGGCATGAGAGATACAGCAAAACCAGAAGTAAGTTATGGGTTACCTACACTGGCGTGCTCTTCATGCCTAAAAAAGTTCTAAGCACAAAAATTAGCACAGTCTAAAAGTCTTTTCCCATGAGTTTATATATACTAACAGAGCCCTTGCTAATAACTGGTAAAAACAGGTTTTAATCACTTTATTTAGACTCTACCTATCAAAGAAAAATAATAATCCCTAGTTCCCTATATTTTAGCCTAAAATATGATTTGTGTAATATATTAGTGAAATGGCCCTAAGTAAGCAAACTTTTTTCCTTTAAAAATCTAGCCAACACAAAAAAGTTTGTCTGTTTATTTATTTTTAAAGATTTTATTTATTTGAGAGAGAGCATGAGTGCAGGGAGGAGCAGAGGCAGAGGGAGGGGGAGAAGCAGACTCCCCGCTGAGCAGGGAGCCTGACATGGGGCTCGATCCCGGGAACCTGAGATCATGACCTGAGCCGAAGGCAGACGCTTAACCAACTGAGCCACCCAGGCACCCAAAAAAGTAAGTTTTTTAAAAAAAGGCAAAGGATCTGAATAGATGATCTACCAATGGCCAATAAGCACATGAAAAGATGCTCAACGTCATTAGCCATCAAGAAAATTTAAGTCAAAATCACAATGAGATACAACTTCAAACTTACTAGGATGGCTATAATAAGTAAGACAAACAATAGAAGTGTTGATGAGGATGTGGAGACTGGAAACCTCACACAATGGGAATGTAAAATAGTGTAACCATTTTGGGCAAACAGTCTGGTAGTTCCTCAAAAGGTTAAACATGGAGCTACCAGATGACTGAACAATTCCACTTCTTGGTATCTATCAAGAGAAGTGAAAACATACACACAGATTCATGGTTGCATTATTCATAACAGCCAAAAGGTGGAACACCCTAATTGTCTGTAACTGATACGTGGGTAAATAAAATGTGGTATAGCCACACAATGGAATATTACGGGGTGATAAAAAGCAAGAAAGTGCTGGGGCGCTTGGCTGGCTCAGTCGGAAGAGCATGCGACTCTATCTCAGCGTTGTGAGTTCGAGGCCCATGTTGGGTGTAGAGATTATTTAAAAAAATAAATAAAAACTTTAAAAAAAAGGGCAAAATAGTGCTGATACATGGGGCAATATAGATGGAGCTGGAAGACATGATGCTAAGTAAAAGAAAACAGACTAGATACTGTATGATTCCATTTATATGAAGTGTCCAGAATAGGCAAAGCTACAGACAGAAAGTACATCAATGGCTGCCCAGTGCCAAGGGACATATAAAGGTTGGAGGGTGATGATTAAGGGATGTGGGGTTTCTTCTGGGGTGATGAAAATGTTCTAAAATTGTGGTAATGGTTGCATAATTCTGTTAATATACTAAAAGCCATTCTAAAACTTTAAAAAAGTGAACTGTATTGTATGTGAATCATATCTCAATAAAGCTGTTAAAAAAAGTCTAGCACAGAAGACTGGGTTTTTGTTTTGTTTTGTTTTTGTTTTTTAAGTAGGCTCCATACCCAGCATGGAGCTCAATGCGGGGCTTGACTCACTGCCCTGATATCAAGACTTGGTATGAGATCAAGAGTCAGATGCTTCACCGACTGAACGACCCAGGTGCCCCAAGAAGACTATTTTTTAATTTATCTTGTGTGCAGTCAGCTTATAAGCATTCGATTATCCAAATGGAAAGCAGCAATACAAGAGAAATGTGGGACATCCAACACAGAAGGTAAGTCACTAGTCAATGACTGCTATTTTTCAAATATTGATCTGAAGAATTAACAATAGCAAAGAGGAAAAACTTTTGGAAAGGAGTGGTAAATATGCATATCCCTATATTCTTATCTTGGGAACCAGCAAAAAGTTTCCAAAGCATGGTCCACAGATACCTCAGCAAGTTAAATGAGTTCAAAAAATTAAAAAGTATATCTAGGGGCGCCTGGGTGGCTCAGTCGTTAAGCGTCTGCCTTTGGCTCAGGTCATGATCCCAGGGTCCTGGGATTGAGCCCCGCATCGGGCTCCCTGCTCAGTGGAGAGCCTGCTTCTCCCTCTCCCTCTGCCTGCCACTCTGCCTATCTATGCTCTCTCTCTATCTCTCTGTCAAATAAATAAAATCTTTAAAAATAAAATATAAAATAAAAAAATAAAAAGAATACCTAAGATATCTACTAGACTGACTAGTTAAGTGACACAAAAAGTCAACTCAACATTTTATACTTACCCTTCCTTCAGCATCAATCATTATTTCTGACATCTTAAAGGTGACTTTTGGATTTGCTGTGCCTTTAGAAAGAGACATGAATAGTAATGAATAATCAAAATTATTCAAACTAATTTTGCTAGATCAACCCCTTTATACTTTAGTTAAGTCAGGAATATTGTAGAGTCAGGGCTTTACTGTATAAGAATCTCAGAACTCCAACTCAAATTCATAACTCTCAACATTAGTATCAAAAAAAAAAAAGAGAGAGAGACAGACTAGAAAACACCAAGAGTCAATATGAAATAAATAAAAGAAATTCTGTATCATTTTGTAATTGAAATGTTAACAGCAAAATAGAAAAAAATTACTGACTTATTAAGAACATAATCCCTTAAAAATCTTTATTTCCTAGCAAAAACTCCTCTTTTTTCATTCCTTGAAGTAACCAGCTTTGTATACTTCCCAACCTTTGAAAAGAATTAAATAAGATTAGCCTATAATTAAGAAATCTACTTCAGTGATACTTAATGAATAACCTACCTTTACTAAGGCTGTAAATGACTAATGTTGACCATACCTCTGGATGATTGCAGAGAGAATCTTGTTTGGAAAGCAGAAATGAGCAAATATAAATGTCAGTGGAATATAGTACCTGTTTTAGGATAACGGAATGAATCTGCCCTCCTTGTTTCCAACATAGGGGATGTAACATGAATAATTTCCACCTCAGATTCATCATTTTCTTCATATAGAATTCTCAGAATTTTGCTGCCACTGGGAGCTTTTAAAAAGGAATTTAAATATTGAAAATTTAGAAGAATTATTCCAGAGAATAATCATAACTGACCATTCCCCCTAGTAGTATATTTCCCACAGTGAAAAATAATTTATGTATAAAATACGCTGCCTTTTGTATAGTGTATGAAAGTATCACTAGTCTTTGCACTAGGAAGGTGAGTTACTACTAAACCACTTTTGCTGGTTAAAGGAAGGCAAAACCTGAAGATAATTATGTACATATACATATATATGCATATATTTAAAATTTAAGTAGGCTCCATGCCCAACATGGGGCTTGAACTCATGACCCAGTGATCAAGAGTCACATGCTCTACTGACTGAGTCAGCCAGGTACCCCTGTACCTATACATATTTAAAACAGGGGAAACACACTTATGAAGGACTTCAGTCCATGTATACCTTAAATGCATTCCTTGTTGAAAAACGAATTACTCAATTATGTTTATAATATTTCCTATAACAAAATAAATGCTATTTTTAAAAAAAGATTTTATTTATTTATTTGAGAGAAAGAGAGAGAGCAGGGAGGACAGGCAGAAGGAGAGGGGGAGAGAGCCCCAAGCAGACTCTGTGCTGAGCACAGAGCCCGATGTGGGGCTCCACTCCATGACCCCGAGACCACGACCTGAGCTGAAACAAAGAGTTGGACACCCAACCAAATGCGCCACCCAGACACCCTGAAAATAAATGCTATTTAAATAGAGCCCAGTTTTCTTTTAATGGTTTCTCTAATTCATGTCAAAATCTTGTTCTAACAAACACAATTATGGCAAAACATTTTACATCTTAAAACTGAATGTCCAAATCTAAGACATGGCTTAAAAGTAAGTATTTTTCATGGTCCCTTAGAGAAATGTTCAAAATACGAGCTGCTGGGGCACTCAGTCAGTAAAGTGAGCAACTCTTGATCTCGGGGTTGTGAATTCAAGCCCAACATTGGGCAAAGAGCTTACTTAAAAAAACAAAAATGGTAGCTGCAATCCATTACTGTGTCATGAAATCTATTAATGGGTAATAACAAGGATTTAAAATACACAGTATCAGAGTGCACTACACATAAAGGAAAGTATTGCTTCATGAAATTTTAGTTTTTTGGTTTTTTTAAAAAAGATTTTATTTATTTATTTGACAGAGAGACACAAGCGAGAGAGGGAACACAACAGGGGGAATGGGAGAGGGAGAAACACGCTTCCTGCTGATCAGGGAGCCTGATGCGGGGCTCGATCCCAGGACCCTGGGATCACGACCTGAGCCAAAGGCAGATGCTTAACGACTAAGCCACCCAGGCACCCTGAGTTTTTTGTTTTTTAAAGATTTTATTTATTTATTTGTCAGAGAGAGACACATCGAGAGAGGGAACACAACCATGGGGAGTGGAAGAGGGAGAAGCAGGCTTCCCACACAGCAGGGAGCCTGATGCAGGGCTTGATCCCAGGACCATGAGATCATGACCTGAGCCGAAGGCAGATGCGTTAACGGCTGAGCCACCCAGGCACCCTGAAATTTTAGTTTTTGTATACAATATGAAGTATTAGGCCAGAATGTAAAGCAAATTTCTAACTGGATCTTCAGAGAAAGCTATTTCACAGGCAATAAAATACTTGCGAATTCATCCAGAAAAGGGAGGAATTTGTGCCTTTTTCTTATCCCTTCATATACTAATTTGGCCATAAGTTTATGCAGACACTCTAGTCAATCCTACATTTTTATAGCAATGGATCAGGGTATAGTATTTTTTTTTATTTTGTCACCAATATTGCCACTAAGACCAGCCTCTAGATGAAAGATTGGAAAAAAGAGTTGAAGGACCAGAGGCACTTATTTTTATTAGAATTCATTCTGCAATGCAATTATTTTTATTAGAATTCATCATGGTGGGATACAGCCTATATATTCTTTTTTTTTTTTTTAAGATTTTATTTATTCATTTGACAGACACAGTGAGAGAGGGAACACAAGCAGGGGGAGTGGGAGAGGGAGAAGCAGGCTTCCCGCTGAGCAGGGAGCCCGATGCGGGGCTCGATCCCAGGGATCATGACCTGAGCTGAAGGCAGACACTCAAGGACTGAGCCACCCAGGCGCCCCCAGCCTATATATTCTAAATAACTACTGGTAGGATCCAAACTTCATGACTTCATAATTACTATTCAGGACTTAGCATCTGAGCACTTAACTAATTGGCAGTTCAATCTCATAATCCTTTAATTAACTTATATTATTTGGAACCCCCTTACTTGTTTCAGCTTCTGGACACCACCAGTAGCCAGAATATCTATCAAATTCTTCTTGAAGAACAAAGGTAGCAACTCCAGCTGATCTGGGATCTTCTTCCATGTTGGCTAGCTCTAGACAAACATAAACAGGAAAATTATCACAGGAAGTTGTCTAACTTTTCATAGGTACTAAGCACAGTTAGTTTATTTTGAAATGCAGCTGTAGTACTGTGGTGAACTCTGGAGCCAAATGGACTGGATATAAATCTGAGCTCCATCATGTACTGACTGACCTTGGGCAAATCATCCAACCTCATTCCACTACAGTGTCCCATTTGTAAAGGGGAGTAACAGTGTACCTCATAAGGTTGTTAGGATTAAATGAATTAATTCACATAAAGCACTTAGAACAAAGCCTGAACCAAAACATGTGCTCCATAAATGTCAGTTATTATTTCCCCATTTAGCTAGGATCATGGAAAAAAATACATGGAAAGGGTCACAGTGACTTGTAACTTCTACCCAGAAAAGTCCAACTTTATGGGTCTTACACATCAAGTAATCTTTATCATTCCCCCTCCCCTTCCTTCAGTCAACCAGAACATTTCAACTTTTATCTGTTTTACACTTTCCAGCAAATAGTTTGAAGAGAACTCTTGCTTTAAAAATAAACCCTCCAGGATGCCCAGGTGGCTCAGTCAGTTAAGTGTCTGCCTTTGGCTCATGTCATGATCCCAGGGTCTTGGGATCAAGCCCTGCCTGTGTCAGGCTCCCTCCTCAGCAGGGAGCCTGCTTCTCCCTCTGCCTCTGCTGTTCCCACTGCTTGTGTTCTCTGGCACACACACACACACACACACATACACACAAACACACACACACTGTCAAATAAATAAAATCTTAAATAAAAAAAAAAGATTTCATGACATGAAGAAATGTTTGTAATATACTTGGATTAAAAAAAGCCCTATTACTAAATGGCATGTACACTATAATTTCATTCATAAAAATGTTAAACGTATATTTTAAAAAGTCTTGGGATATAAACCAAAATGTGGTTCTCTCCAAATAGTGAGACAGACTATGGAGAAACATTTTTTTAAAATTGCTTTATAATTTACAAAATCTTAGGTGTATTGTTTATTTGTGAAAAACGTATACACTTGTATAACGAACCACACCCTGTCAAGACATAGAATATTTCCAACACCCAGAATGTTTTCTCATGCCTCTTCTCAGTCAATGCCCATTCTCACCCCAGAAGCAAACACTGATCTGATTTCTGTCACCATAGGTTAGTTTTGCATATTCTAGAATATCATGTAAGTGAAGTCATATACTTTGTCTGCTTTTTGAGATTCACCCATATTGTTACATGTATCAATAATTCATTCCTGTTTATTGCTTGGTGGTATTCCATAGTATACCAGTTTTTTGTGTTGTTTTTTTTTTTTTTAAATCCATTCACCTGTTAACGGGTATCTGGGCTGTTACTATTGTCAGTTATTGGCAATATGAATAAAGATACTATAATCTTTCTTGCATCGGGATCTTTGTGGGTGTATGCTTTCTCTTGAATAAAAGACCTAGAAGTGGAATGACTAGGTAGTATGATAAGTGTTTATAAGAAACTGCCACACAGTTTTCCATAGTATTTGTATTATTTTATATTCTTACTAGCAACGTATGAAAGTTCCTCTCCAACATTTGTGGTTTTTTTTTTTTTAAGGTTTTATTTATTTATTTGAGAGAGAGAATGAGAGATAGCACGAGAGGGAAGAGGGTCAGAGGGAGAAGCAGACTCCCCGCTGAGCAGGGAGCCCGATGTGGGACTCGATCCCAGGACTCTAGGATCATGACCTGAGCCGAAGGCAGTCGCTTAACCAACTGAGCCACCCAGGCGCCCTCCAACATTTGTGTTCTTAATCTTTTTCACTTTAGCCAGTCTAATGGGTGTATGGTAATATATCATAGTGATTTCAATATTGTAGACAAGTTTCAAAGTATTATTTTTGGTTATCTGTATTTTCTATATATTGTCTGAAACAAATATGCAACATGAGCCAATAATCCCCTATCTAAAAATTTTGAGTCCAGAAGTGTTTGGAACTCAAGAATTTGGGGGATTTTTCATATTTATCATATATCTACCATATAATTACATAACATCTCTGGCAGGGTAATTAAATACCCTGTAATTGAGTACACTAATATTCTTGGAGCAAACTTATGAATAGACACACTAAGTAGGATTAAGATTATAAATAGCCTCAGGTCAGTTCAGGGTAGGTTTTGCCACCAAATGAGTTTTAGCTCCGAGCCAGTGAAAACTAAGCTCAGTTTTCTTTTCTTTTTTTTTTTTTTAAAGATTTTATTTACTTATTTGACAAAGAGAGCAAGAGAGCACAAGCATGGGGAGCAGCAGGAGAGGAAGAAGCAGGATCCCCACTGAGCAGGGAGCCCAATGCAGGGCTCGATTCCAGGACCCTGGGATCATGGCCTGAGCCAAAGGCAGATGCCTAACCATCTGAGCCACCCAGGCACCCCTAAGCTCAGTGTTCGAGAGTTTTTTTGAATTCTGGAATTAATGATATAGGCAAAACTAGTGTTTGGTTTTCCTGGATCTTTCAACTACCCCAAAATTATACCCACCATACTGTTTCATATTTGTTCTCTTTTGGATGTGAGAAGAGGTACCACTCATTTCTATCTCCCTTTCACTTACTATAGACCTCAATTATTAAGAGTTATTTATTAAATGAATAAAAGGTATCACTTTGTTCTTCTGGTATGTCAATATATCATTTGAGAATAGAGGCTGGTACTGTATTACTTTTACATTCCTTTTCATACTAGGCAGAAAATAAACACATGCACATGCTCACTGACTAACCCCATCTAAAAGCAGACTTTCACTTGGAAACTTATTGTAAGCAGAGTTAAGAGTGAAGATGCTTACTCTGTACCTACCTTTCTACTTAAACACATCGCTCTTACTATGTTTCAGACACCATCCTAAACACTTCACAAATAAGAACTCATTATAACCTCATAAGAACACTATAATAACACACCTTTTTAGATATGGAAATGAAGAGATCAGTTAAATAACTTACTCAAGGTCACAGAACTAAAAAACGGTAGATCTAGAATTCAAACTAGAATGGTTCTAGACTGCATTTTTAACAAGTACATTAATCTGGAAAATAATAAACATACCACATACCCATATGCACAGAAAGGAAAATAATAAGAACAATACTACAGCATCCTGCAGGGTGCCAGTGCTTTCTACTTTAAATTCTGTCAATTCTTTTTTTTTTTTTTTTAAGAGCGGGAGAGAGAGAGAGATATAGGGGCAAAGGGAGGGGGAGAGAGAAAGTCTTAAGCAGGCTCCACGCCTAGCACAGATCTCACAACACTGAGATCATGCATGACCTGAGCTAAAATCAAGAGTTGGATGCTTAACCAACTGAGCCACTCAGGCGCCACTAAATTCTGTCAATCTTCACAATAATCCTGTGTGGAAAAACAATTCTACAGAAGAAAAACTAGACTAAAAAACGTCCTATCAGTTACTGTCAGAGCTTTGCACTCCCAGCCTCAAGTAGGATAAGTAGTACATAGTGAGTGTTCAATGTTTGTTGAAAGCATGAAGAAATGGCTAGGATTTCCAACCCAGATTTACTAATCATCAACCTAATCCTGTCATTGGTAGCCGTTCTGATTCCCTTACTCCAAAGAGAGACCCAAAACACGTACTTTTCTTTCTTTCTTTTTCTTTCCTTTTTTAAAGATTTATTTATTAATTTGAGAGAGAAAGAGGGAGAGCGGGAGCAAGGGGGGGGGTGGTGGGTGGAAGGGCAGAGGGAGAGGGAGAAGGAAGAAGCATGCTCTCCACTAAGCTCAAGACCCTGAGGATCATGACCTGAGCAGAAATCAAGAGTTGGACGCTTAACAGACTGAAACACCCAGGCGCCCCCAAAACATGTACTCTTTATTTAAAAAGTTCCCTACTCCAACCCCTTTTGTCTATCTGATGCTCTATAGAGTTTTAGACCACTTAAACCTGGGTAACTTCAACAGTCAAGTTTTGGTTTCCTTGCCTCTAGTCCTGGGCTTTTCAAATACAACTCTCACAAAGTATCCAGAACAATTTATCTATAATATGACTCTGACCACACCACCCAATTGTTAAAAACTTTCAGTGGACCCCCACATCATGCTAGAGACTCTGTTGATTTACATGAGATACAGTTAACCCTTGTCTTGGTTACCTTTCCCTTCTTCTTGACTCATACCTTACGCTTTAGAACCATGAGACTGCTTTTAACTCCTCACACACCACCTTCTGCATTAAGACCTTTCTCACATGGTCCCCTCACTTGGAATGTACTGGTTAATGTGCAGTCATATCTAAGACCAGTTTAGGTGCCAGTTAGGTGTCCTCTCTCCTGGGAAGCCTTTCGTGACCACTCCCCCACATTGATGCCCTCACAACACCCTTTGCTTATCACTCTGTTTTATTATTCATATAGTTTCCTTGAGGGCCCAGGTTATGTCTTACTCAATTCCGTATCCTTAGTTCCTGCCATGTTACTTGGTGCACAGGAACATAACCTATCTTTGTTGACAACTGAATAGCTAGAACAGATTTCTTGACTACTAATTCAGTGTTCTTTCTACCAACGTAAATTGTTCAGGAAAGGGCTGCTTTTGTAATGCTGATTATCCTAATAATGAAAAAAAATGTTTGTTGTCAATACACTATTGTATTCTAAAATAATTTATTAAGAAAGATGCCCAATAATTCAGCTTTGTGAACATTAGATTAAGCAAGAGTTGAATAAATGAATTTTGAAAGTGACCATCCTTCACTGTAGAACTTACTAATCTTAAACTTTGTTTCATGGTTTCAAAGAAAAAGCAATACACTATTTCCCATCTTTCATTTGTATGAAAGCTTTAGAGAAAAACATCTACATCTTTTCTGTGCTTTGAGCAGTGCTTAGTATTACTATAATCCCTTTAATGAAAATTAAATATTTCCACAATACACAATTCTACAAAATTTTGTTTTTCCTATTATGACAAAATAATTAGGGTCTCCAAAAAGGCAAGATAAATTTTTGTGTATTAGGTTTTTGCTTGTTTCCCAAAAGCAAGATTAATTTTTTTTAAGACTTTTTTATTTGCAAGAGAGTGAGCACAAGCAGGGGGAGCTGCAGGCAGAGGGAGAAGCAGACTCCCCACTGAGCAAGGAGCCCGATGTGGGACTCGATCCCAGGACCCCAGGATCATGACCTGAGCCGAAGGCCGACGCTCAACCAACTGAGCCACCCAGGCCCCAACTGGTCCCCAATTTTGGGACCAAAATTAATTTTTTAATTGAAATTTTATTTTATTTATTT